TTGACAACTTCAGTCTTTTCTCCTTTGATAAGAATAATTGTTTATTGGTTCAGTGGTAAGGATTTTTGTTTTCTTTACATTGAGATGCAGCCCATACTGAAGACTGTGGTCTTTGATCTTCATCAGTAAGTGTTTTAAGTCCTCTCTGCTTTCAACAAGCAAGGTTGTATCATATGAATATTGCAGATTGTTAATAAGTCTTACTCTGATCTTGATGCCACATTTTTTTCATACAGTCCAGCTTCTCAAATTATTTGCTGAGCATACAGATTGAATAAGTATGGTTAAAGAATACAATCCTGGCACACACCTTTCCTGACTTTAAACCATTCATTGTTCCTTTGTTCTATTTGAACAACTGCCTCTTAGTCTATGTACAAGTTCCTCATAAGCACAATTAAGTGTTCAGAAATGCTCAATCTTCATAATGTTGTTCATAGCTTGTCATGATCTACACAACCAAAAGCCTTTGCTTGTCAGTAAAGCAAAGGTAAACATCTTTCTGGTATTCACTGCTTTAAGCCAAGATCTATCTAACAGTCAGCAGTGATATATATCCCTTGTTCCAGTTTCTCTTCTATATCTGGCCTTAACCTTTGGAAGTCCTCTGTCAATGTATGGTTGCAGCTGTTTCTGGATTATCTTTAGTCAAGTTTACTTACATGTGATATTAATGGTATTGTCTTATGATTTCCACATTCTGTTTGGGCACCTCTCTTTGGAATGGGCACAAATATGGATGTCTTCCAGTCAGTGAGCAGGTAGTTAGTTGTCTTCCAGATTTCTTGGCATAAATGAGTGAGTGCCTCCAGTGCTGCATCAGTATATTGAAAGATACCAGTTTTTGAATTCCATGAATTCCAGGTACCTTGTTCTTCTCCAATGCCTTCAAAGAACTTTGGACTTCTTCTTTGAGCATAATTGACTCTGAACATATGCTTCTGCCTCTTGAAATGATTGAACATTGACCATTTCTTTTTGGTACAGTGACTCTGTGTATTTATTCCTTCCATCATATTTTAATGCTTTTTGCACCATTCAATATTTTGCCCATAGAGTACTTCACTACTGCAAATTTGATTTTTTTTCTTCAGTTCCCTCAGCTTGAGAAATGCTGAGTGTGTTCTTCCCTTTTGGTTTTCTAACTCCAGGTCTTTGCACATTTTGTTATAATATTTGACGTTTTCTCAAGCTGCCCTTCGAACTTTCCTATTCATCTGGCTCCCTTTTATAGTTTACTGTTTGACTGAAAATTGAGCCACGGTGTAGAGTTCAGTTCCAGGCCTGAAGGGTAACTAAGGGCCATAATCTCAGGGTTCCAACAGACTCTGTCTGGCCAATAATAAGATCTGTCTGATCTCTTTTATGATTTTGAGTTTCTTTCCCCATTTTTCTCATACTCTACCCAGGACCTTCTAATGCGATCCCTTTCAGAGCAGTTGGTAGTGGTAGCCAGTATCTATTAATATAGATAGTTCATAGCCTTAGAGACATGTCATTAATGTTTTATCTCTATAAGAATTTTTTTTCATTTGCAGAGTTCAAGAGACTTGAATTTTTTTTATTATGAAATACTTCGTATTTTCTATTTGGTACATGTATATGGAGCTGAAAAGAATAACATTAAACAACTCTGCAACTATCACCTAACAATAAAGTTTGCACTCTAAAATGTTATTTATATCCACACCACCCCCACCCCACCCACACACACACACACACACACACTCATTTTTCATTTGGAAATTGAAATCTTTAAATCTTGTTTGGCCAAACTGATATTTAAATAGCTTTTCTTAAATTGTGTTTTAATTTATTTATGTTTAAAAGGCTTTAACATAATTGATTAGAGAAGTTACTTAACTTGAATTGAGAGCTGGAAGTTAGGAAAACTTTATAACTTCAGAAGCTTCAAAGGTCTGAGAAAAAGGAAATATTGAGGAAGAGGGAAAGGGTTTCATATGAATTGAGCAAGTTATTCACTGGTATAGATTGTAATAATTTCTTTACTAGAGAATAGAAGATAAAGGGACAGGGGCTGAGAACTGGCCGTTTCTTAAGTTGTTCTTACCAGAATTGGTACCACCAGTGAGTATCTAAAAGGGTGAATGAAATATGTTTCCAAGAATTTATGACAGCATATTTCCTAGTGGTTAGAAGTGTTTATTTTAACCCTGTTTTGGGGTGGTAAATACTACTTCACATGTCACGCCTCACGTCTCATCATCGTCCTTACTGTTGATTAAACTAAACCTGGGACCTGCCTCACAAAATATGATACTAATTTTCATTTCTTGGTAGAGATTTCTGTGTGATCTTTCATATTTTAGGGAATATAATCTTCATAGTTCCCAGTTTAAAAGAATTTGAAATGCCTGTGGCATTTTTTTATGGTGTGATCATATACTTACACGTAAAAATGACTGTGTTTTGCTTTGGGAATTTCTGCATGTAAAAAATATGCATACAGATGATGGGTACTTTGACTAAGAGTCTGGGCTCTGGAGCCAAACTCTCCAAATTCGCATCCTGGCTCTGCCACTAGCTGTATAGTCTTGGGTAAATTATTTAATCTCTCTGTGATGGTTTCTTAATCTGTAAAATGGGGATAATAAAACATCTGCCTCATTGCATAGTTGGGTATATAACTTAGACTGTAGAAAGTACTTATGACTCAGAGTTACAGCTCCCTGCATGCTGGCTGTTATTTAAATCTTCCATGGAGTGCCTTTTCTTTACAAGTACATTTAGCTGCTTAGAATACCATTTGTGTGTGGAAGGATAGTCTTTCTAGAACCAGGTCTCTTTGTCACATGATTATGTGCAATGTGAGCCTTATTAATACCCTGTCAGCATTTGAGGTTGGAACATAAGTGTGTGGCCATACCCAGCCATCTTAACAAGAGAGCTAGGCACAGTAGCAACTGTTGCTATTTGTGTCCTGAGCAGCAGCTGTTCCAGACAGATTTATTTTTAACACATCTCACTGATGGCCTGGGATGTGCCCCTGCCTTAGAGAAGTAGATTGGTTGAGATGTCTAGTCTCAGAAGAGATTTCATGACCACATGTTAATACAGGATGCTGTTCCATGTGCAATATGAAGAGCTAGTACTTTGTGTGTATCAGAAAGGAAGAGAGGTTAAGTCTCAGCATTCCAAGTCAATCCCTGATGTATATAGTGTGACTGTGTTACTTACACAAGAACTCACTCTCAATATGGGCAGTGAGACTTCATATTTTTCAGGCAAAGCTTAATGTTCCTGTTTATAACATTCTACAGATGAGTTAATTATCTGTGATTATATATCCAAGGGTGAGTCAATAATTATCTACACTGAGTTATAGTGTCCACAGCTGATGACAACATTGAGCCTGCATGTGAAATGATTTTGTTGAATAGATGAGTGACAGTGGATTATGTGGCAAATCATTTGCAAATCAGCCACGGCTCTGTCTATGAAATAATCCATGACAGACTTGGGTTTTGAAAAGTTTGTGTGAGATGAGTAATGAAACAAATCACAGAAGAGCATAAGCAGAAGTAGTTGGGCAACTGCAAAAAAAATTTGAACTTATTCTTGAATTTATCCTCTACCCACACCATTGACACTCTGTGAAAACTTTGTTTTGAGATGTTAAAACATCTTCCCTATAGTTCTAATCTTGCTCTACTGGACTTTCACCTGTTTGGGCTCCTGAAAGCAGCCCTTGCAGGACGAAGATTCACCTCTGATGAAGAAGTGAAGACAGTGGTATATTCATGGATCAAAGCTCAGCCAAAAACATTTTAAAAATAAGGGAATATAAAAGCTTGTTGACAGATGGACAAAGTGTATTAAAAAACAAGGAGATTATGTCAAGAAATGATGTCGTTATCTTTTCTAAAAGTTGATTAAAATAAATTCTATAGCCAGAGTGTGGTTAATTTTTTACTCACCTATGTGTGTGTGTATGTATATTTAAAATGATATATTATCATATATAATGAAATCATAATAATATATTTTTTATTATTTGTGGATTTCTGAAAATAAAATATTTGAAAAGAGTTTAAGCCTGAATTGATGCTGTTCCATGAAAGCATCTTTAAATGACAATTTAGCTCATTTAATAGATGTTTGCTCTGGGCATTGCAGTCTTTTAAAGAATAATTTGTATGAGATTAAATGGGCAACAGTAATTCTAAAACCTGTGAAAACTTTAAGAGGCAGAGAATCTAAATTAACGGTGAAATAATAAGAGCAGAAATAGAGAAAATGGTGACACATAGAGATGTAACCATTGTCAATGAAATGTACATGCAAAAAGGTTTCAGTGGGTGTATATGTATGTGCATAGAGTTGCTATGAGCCGGTGCCAACTTTATGGCATCTAACAACAACAACAACAATACGTATGTTTTTGTTGTATATATTTTCATTTTTTAAAAAGTCTGTTTCAATGAGTGGTTGGGATGATTCAATAATTTTTTAGTTTATCTGATGTGCTAAAATATTAGGCACCTTGAAACAGTAATCTGCCCATTTTAAATTTTTGAATGCTTTGTTGTTGTTGATGTTAAGTGCCGTCGGGTCGGTTTCGACCCATAGCGACCCTGAATAGGGTTTCCGAGGCTGTATGTCTTTACGGGAGCAGATCGCCTCATCTTTCTCCCGCGGAGCAGCTGGTAGTTTCGAATTGCTGACCTTCCGGTTCGCAGCCTGATTCGTAACGACTACGCTACCAGAGCTCCTTTGTATGCTTTAGGGAAGATAAACATTTTGTTGCAAAATATTTGTGGATCACCTACCAAGACTCATGGTAACACCTAGCAAATGTTTTTGGTGTAAATTTTTTTTTTTAAGTTTTTAAGAATGTGTCTACTTTTGTTTTTCAAATGTCATTTATCAAATTCAATGGTAAGAATTTGCAAATCAGGATATTTTGAACGTGAAACATTCATATTGATATAAAGAGTATGTACATAAATGATTTAAAATTACACATTTCCTTCTTCCAGGTATTATTAACCCAAAGAACCCAAAGGAAGCTCCAAAATCCTTCAGCTTCGACTACTCCTACTGGTCTCATACCTCAGTAAGTTGTATTCCTGGTGCAGCCTCTGGGAAAAGTGGTCTCCAATGTTAAATCTTCTGCCGTCTCATTCCTTTCTTTTTTGTCTGTTCTGTTATCAGAGCAGGTCTGATTCTTGTTTTGTAAATGTGGTCTAGTGTATTTCATTTTTAATACAGTGAATACTTTCTGAAGTAGTTTCTTTAATAAAGTATTTGAGTTGATGAAAAATTGACATATGCACCTACCTACATATATATATTGGAGTCCTGGCATGGCACTGTGGGCTAATGCGTCAGACTGCAAAGTCATTTGAACTGCAAGGTCGAGGTTCAAGCTCACCAGGTGCTCCTAGGAAACCCTATACAAGGTCACTATGGGTCGAAATTGACTTAACAACAACAACATTATATATTGAGGTGCAACCCATACCAAAGTCTTTGATCTTCATCAGTAGTATTTAAGTCCTTTTCATTTTCAGCAAGCAAGGTTGTATCTGCATATCATAGGTTGTTAATGAGTCACTTTGAGTTGATACCAACTGGATGGCACCTAACAACGGCAAAAACAACACATGTATACTTGGAGGATAAGCACTGGACTGCTAACCAAAAGGTCAGTGGTTCAAACCCACAGTCACTCCTCGGAAATCCTCTAGAGGGTCGCTGAGTTGAAACCAATGCCATGGCACTTAACAGTAACATATATCTATATCTGTTTATATATATCATATATATCTATAGATAGATAGATAGATAGATAGATAGATATGACTGGTTTAGTATGGAAATTTTTACGTTTGTGAATATTTTGGTATATGTTTTTTCACCAAAATTCAATAAAAACACCAAAAACTGATTTCGTTTATATAAATCTATACTGAACCTTATTTAGTCTGTTATTTAGATATCCCTTCAGAATTTATCATTATTTTAGGATTCTTATTATGAACATTATTATATCTCTGTTGTTACTGTTGTTGTTAATGCTAAGTACTGTCAAGTCGATTCCGACTCAAACAGTGACTCTGTATAGAGTTTCCAAGGAGTGACTAGTAAGCTTGAACTGTCAACCTTGCAGTTCAAACTGACCTTACAGTCCAACGCATTAACCTGCAGTGCCACACCAGGACTCCTTAACCTGCCAAATAAAACTTGTTCCTGTCAACTCATCAGCGACCCTATAGGACAGAGTAGAACTGCTCCCTAGGGTATCTGACACAGTGCTTGTTTATGGAAGCAGACTAGAGTGCCTTATCTTTCTCTCTCAGAACAGCTTCACCCAGTGCACTGCCAGGACTCCTTAATAGATCTTACAAATTTGTAAACTAAAGATTGCTTAGTATATTGCTAATTTTAACTTAAATTTTGAGAGAATAGGGAACACTGATAAAGAGAGTATGATTAGCAGGATCAAAGTGATCACAATGAAAAGGTTTATTCTTTTAAAACACTGAAAGAACTGGCAAATCCACAAAAAAAAAAAACAAAGGTTAATAGAATCTGGGAAAATGAAGATTAAGGTCCTTCATGATGATGATGTTGTTCTTGTTAGATGCCGTAGAGTAGGTAACAAAACAATGCCATCCTCACAATTGATGCTGCATCTGAGCCCATTGCTGCTGTCACTGTGCTGGTCCATCTTGTTTGGAGTCTCCCTCTTTTTCACTGATCCGAAACCATACCAAGCATCATGTCCTTCTCCACAAACTGGTATCTCCTGGTAATAAGTCTGAAGTATGAGAAACAAAGTCTGGCCCTCTTGGCTTCTGAGGAGCGTCTGGTTGTACTTTCTCCAACACATATTGCTTTGTTATTCTGGCAGTCCATGGTACCTGTAATATTTTTGTCCAGTACCATAACTCAAATGCATCAATTCTACAGTCATCCTTATTCACTGTCCAACTTTCACATGCATATTAGGCTACTGAAAATATGTTGACTTGGGTCAGGTTGATGGTGGATCCAAGCAAAATGAATTCTTTGGCAATTTCATTCTCTTCTCCATTTATCATGGTGTTATTTATTGGGCGAGTGGTGAGGATTTTTGTTTTCTTTATACTGAGATACAACCCATACCAAAGGCTCTCTGGTCTTTGATCTTCATTAGAATTTTAAGTCCTTTTCACTTTCAGCAAGCAGAGTTGTGTCATCAGCATATCACCAATTGGTAATGAGTCTTCCTCCAGTCCTGATGCCACGTTCTTCATATAATCCAGCTTCCCAAATTATTTACCCAGTATATAGATTGAATAAGCATAGTGAAAGAATACAACCCTGGCATATCCCTTTCCTGATTTTAAACCATTCAGTATCCCCTTGTTCTGTTCGAACAACTGCCTCTTAAGTCTTATGTACAGGTTCCTCATGAGTACAGTTAAGTGTTCTGGAATACTCATTCTTTGCAATGTTATCCATAGCTTGTCATGATCCACACAGTTGAAAGCCTTTGCATAGTTAGTAAAGGACAGGTAAACATCTTTCTGGTATTCTCTGCTTTCAGCCAAAATCCATCTGATGTCAGCAATGATAGCCCTCATTCCACGTCCCCATCTGAATCCTACCTGAACCTCTGGCAGCTGCCTATTAATATAATGTTGCAGCCATTTTTAAATTATCTATAGTAAAATTTTACTTGTGTGCGATATTAATGATATTGTCTGTTGGTTTCCACGTTTTGTTGGGTCACCTCACTTTGGAATGGGCACAAATAGGGATCTTTTACAGTTAGTTGGCCCGGTAGTTGTATCCCAAATTTCTTGGCATAAAAGAGTGAGTGCCTCCTGTGCTGCATCACTTTGTTGAAAGATTTTGATTTGTATTCCATCAATTCCCAGCACCTTGTTCTTTGCCAGTGCCTTCAGTGCACCTTGGACTTCTTTCTTCAGTACCGTTGGCTCTTGATCATATGCTACCTCTTGAAATGATTGAACATCGACCATTTCTTTTTGGTACAGTGACTCTGTGTATTCCTTCCATCTTCTTTTGCATCATTCAGTGTTTTGCCCATAGAATCCTTCAGTATTGCAAGTCGAAGCTTGCTCAGTTATTTCAGCTTGACAGGTGCTGACTGTGTTCTTCCCTTTGGTTTTCTCACTCCAGATCTTTGCACATTCCATTATAATATTTGACTTTTGTCTTCTCGAGCTGCCCTTTGAAAATTTCTGTTCTGCTCTTTTGCTTCTTTATTTCTTCCATTTACTTTAATATCTCTACACTGGAGAGCAGGTTTTCAGAATTTCTTCTGACAACCATTAGGTCTTTTCTTTCTTCATTGTCTTCAAAATGAACTTTTGCTTTCTTATTTTTTTTTAATTTTTCAAAAGTTGTTATTGTGAATTGAGTTAAGTTTAAAGGGCAGATTATCAGTTTTACATTCCACAAATCATATTTTGCTTCATTGCAATGATTACAATCCCTCCATATACCATCAGTCAACAGTATTTACCTGTATCGACCCCCCCCCTTTTTTTTTTTTAAGGTTTTTATTGTGGATTGAGTAAAAGGTTACAGGGCAGATCATCAGTTTTACATTCAACAAACTGTACACCTTGTTTCATTACAATGATTATAATCCACTCCATGTACCATTAATTAACAGTATTTCTCTCTATTCACTTTAGCTTTTAAAAACAAAAAC